GCGTGTTGGGCGTTCAGCACCATCGAGATGATCGAATCGATGTACGCCATCAAAAACGGAACTTTCTATCCCTTTAGCGTGCAGGAAGTAGGTCGTTATATCCCTGACACGCCTGTACTTCAAAAGTGATGCAACTGCTGGAAGAAGGTCGTGTTCTGTGAAATATAAGTTTGTCGCATGGTTTTTCTATCATTTTCGCCCGTTTCTTGATTCTTCGAGGTTTTCATATTTTCACACGATCGAACGAAACTTTATGCGACACATCATCCGTTTACCGGATGCTCTTGTTCCAGCAGTTTTTTTAATCTTTCAACGCGATTTTCTGCCGCATACGTTAATTCGTCACAGTTGAATGTTTAATTTTCTCGTTTTACGACGTGCAGATGATTGACTGTATGCCAGGCAATTTCGGATGCCAGGGCGGTGACATATGTAGTCTGCTTTCGTGGCTACTGATGTCGAAAACCGAAGTCATTTCCGAGAACGTATATCCTCTCACACGGCGAGATGACCAGTGCAGATTATCTAAGTAAGTGCATACTGTGATGAGAATATCTGATTGTAGATGTATAAAAATACATGTTTAGCGATAATCGTACATTTTCGTAGCTCAACGGCGATCTCAAAGCGATCTGATATTATTTCAGGCTTTCTATGAAGACTTCAGGTGTCAGGATAATGGATTTCACATGTGACAGGTAGTTAATTTTCATCCGCGTATCTCATCTGGAAAAAATTCAATCTCTCCGTTTCTCTATAGTTTCCCGTAAAAGAAGTCGCAGAACTATGTTGATTAAATAATTAGTCTTTCATTATTCACGATATATAGGTTTATTTCAATGAACAATGAATATGATTTTATATTTTTTTATATGAAAAAGTTATAATGATACCTTTTTTAAACTAATAATTTTATTAGTCCTTCTCCTTTCTTCTTTCTATTGTTATTTATAACGTATATTAATTACAATTATAATAATCAGTTGATAATTGCATCAACATCGGCGGAGCCGCTCGCGAAAGTCCTTTTATTCCTACTCCACGTTGATTCGCGCACTAATCGAGCTTGTTCCAGCTTTGTGGATGCGGAAGATGAACTTCTGGCATCACTCGCCACTCACGGACCCGTGGCAGTCGCGGTAAATGCCATATCATGGCAGAATTATTTAGGCGGCGTGATACAGTATCACTGTGACGGTTCATTCAACAGTTTGAATCACGCGGTACAGATAGTGGGATATGATCTGTCAGCGGCGATACCACATTATATCATGAAAAACTCATGGGGACCGACCTTCGGTGACAAAGGATACCTTTATATCGCCGTCGGCAGCAATTTATGCGGTAAGGTTACCCGGTGGAACGGCGATACTTGCGCCGATTGAGTAGATTGCGTGTTACGAAGGTTAAATATGGAAAACAGTGAAATATCAACACGTGTTCGTAGGCATAGCCAATCAAGTGTCGTCGGTTGAAGTTGGTTAATAAATCACGACTACTTACGACATCATCCGTTTCGGCGAGAAACAAATCGAACAGCCATGGAACAAATGTAACGATAATGTGTAATGTATATTTCAATATCTTCCTACAAAGTACATTGTAAGCGAAAGTGTTGTAAAACTACGAGTCAAAAAAAGATTGATTACTTATGTAAAATATGTCATATCTTTCGTGTCATTATTTGTAATTTTTTTTTTTTTAAGATATCTAGCGTTGCGATCGGCTATTTTAAAAACTTAACGTTGGAACATTTGCTTCATTTGAATCATGCGAATGTATATCTACTGTGACTGTCTGATGTGTTACAGAAATAAAAATTGTCAATTAAAGTTCTGTGAGATTCGTCGTAATGTGTGATTAACACTCGCGCTGAAATAATTCAGGAACTTTCCGAAGAGTTTTTCGGATTATCTTGACCATCGTTCGCGTTCCAGCCGTTCGAGGCGATTGACAGTTTCGTCTTCATCTGCTTCGTCAACGGCGGGATCATATGACGCGGTATCAGGAAGGTCGACAAGTTGAACAGATCCAGAAAGACCTTATACCGATCGCTGTTTGTGGAAACGCATAAAACAAGAGAAGCGTCCGTTATCAAAAAAGCGTTTTCGTAATCGGCTAACGTGGATATCGAAGATGTTCCGCGGAATGCAATTTATAAGTATGCTTCTTGGTGCAAATCAATAGACGCGATAATTTTCTCATTCTCTCTCTCCTTCCCCCTCCCCATTTTTCTTCAAAACGATATACTTTACTGACATTTGACATTGCAAAGTATTTATACGTCATATCGTACGATGATAAGACTCTACGATAAATAAAAAGTTTTATGCAACAAAGACTTCGTTGTATATGCTGTGTTATCTCTGCCGTCATTTACGAATGCTTTTTCCTCGAATAAGTTATTTGCATCAAAGCGTCGGGAAATTGTGATTTGAATACCTTAGGGTGGACTTCAAATACTGATAGCCGGAGGAGCCACCGGTGCCGAGCTGTTGAGATCCAATCATCCTTTGTACCATGATAACATGATTATCTAAATAACAGAAATGATCCATAACACAAGAACCAATAATCTCAGCTTCTGAGTTAACCCATTTGCATCATTCGGAAAAGTGTAAAATTGGCCTATATCACCAACATTTTTTTTTATTGTATAAAGATAGAAATGTTTCGAAATGCATAAAAAACAAAATAGCGTACACAAAGAATTCATAATTTTATTTAGTCCAATAAAGTTAATACATATATACATTGAAAATAATTTGAGAAATTAAATTTAATAGTTTTGCATAGTATGATAGTACTTGAAATGGTCAATACATATAGCCACACGGCGATTATCGCACTGATAAAATAAATCTTTTCTCTTTCTTTGTGATAAACAAATTACACAACGTTTGCGAGTTTTGCAACGTTCGTGATGAAGTTGTTTCAATGCGTATTGGAAAATGTTGGCCAGTAAATCTTGATGATAATGATGGACGTGGTGTAATTTTTCGTGTTGCTGCTGCTTTTATTTTTTGTTTATTTCGTTCCAATTATTTTTATTGGCCTAATTACTTCTTCACTACTATTAGAATCACAACTCTCCATTTTTATCAAAATTGTTTGCCTTTACCCGGAGAAATATTTTAATCCGTTTGCAATCATCACTCTTCACTAACTGCATGCATATGTGTTGTGGCTATGATGCACAAAACACTAGCGTGCATATCTGCGCTTTAGTGATAATGGCCAGAAATATTCCGCGCATATATGAGCTTATGATGCAAATGGGTTAAGCGCAAACAGATAAAATTACGTTGGCCAATATGATGCAAATATATCTGCAGATTTTTTTTTACATAAGCACGTGTTACAGTGTCACTGCAACAGTTAATTATTTCAAAACTGGACAATAATTAAAATCTCAGACGATTCGAAATATACACAAAATTTTGCAATGCTGAACCATACCGCAATTATAACTGAAATTATGATGTGTGTTGTAATCTTTAGTGACGTATTTCATTGTACACATTACTAAAGATTATAACATACATGATAATTTCAATGATAATTTTGTCATAATCCAGTATTACAAAAAATTTTGTGGTAATTTTTACTATAATATTTTCCCCGTATAGATAGATAAGTGCGTTTATTGACATTCCAAAGCAAAATTCTTCAAGAACATTACAGACAAGAAAAAAAGTACAGAGATAATATACACATAGGAAATGCAAACACGAACGCAGAGAGATAAAAATGTTGAACATAGTACACAAACATTTAATGTATGCTTTGTGATGCCATTGCAACAGCACATGTTTAAAATATGTTTGTTTTAAGAAATATTCATTTATTACGCTATAATTTTAATCAAAATATTCTTATTACTACAATAATTCCAGAATAATTGCGTTCTCTTTCGGGCAAAATATGCAGCAATATTTATGGCAGCGGAATATCGTCCTAATATCGTCACGATTTTCACGTTGATCTTCTTTTATACACTGATAAAACGCTCGTTGCACGAGAACGCATCTTAACGTACTTGTGTTAATCACAATGAAGACAATGTATCGAAATAAGTCTACCTGAGTTCTCACTTACATCTCCATTTGGTGATTAGCGAGTCGATGTCCATCAACGCCATGAGGATTTGATGCGGCTGGCTGAATCGCGGCTCGTCCCGATACAGTGTGATCATTATCGCTCCCTGAAGGGCGCCGTGCGAAAATCTGCGCTCGCCGCGCGACACGAGAGCGTAGTGAAGGGACTCGTTCATGATGGTCTCGAAAACCGCCTGCCGCGAGCGGACGTTGGCCAACAGGTACTCTCTGGCTTGCTCCATCGACGCTTTCTGAAATGTCATCATTGATTTCGAGGACCGACCGTGACCACCGTCGTCTCATTGCTCGCAGATGAGAAAGAGAAAAAGCGGGACCGTGCACGGGTAGAGACTACCTCCGCGTTTCCGGCAAAATCGATAGGTTTAAGGACGATTACGTGTGCGGCTTGTTCCTGCTCGGCCAGCATCTTCTCCACCGACCGCTTATACTTCCCCCAGAAGTCGAAGTCGTCGGTCTCGAGACCCGGTGTTCTGCTCAACCATCTCTGCACTAAAGCGCTCAGACTGTACTCTTCCTCCGACCGTTTGATCGCCTCGATCGCCGCGGGATCCCGGCCGAAGACCCTCATGTAACTCTGATTATATTTCACCCTGTGTTCCTGCTTCACGCCCAGTTTGTTCTCCAGCAGGCGGAACTGTAGCGACTGGAAACCCGAGGCCGGGCACAAATAGTCGCGAAACGCCATGAAGTCCAGCGGCGTCATTGTTTCCAGGATCGTTACTTGGTCCACCAACAGCTGGAAGTTCGAAACGCTCGTCAACGAGTACACGAGGTCGTTATCGTCGATCGCGTTTCACGAGAGAGGCAAGCGACGCGACGGTTAATTCTACGCTACAGTACTTTCCCTGATTTCGATTTCCCGACCGCGTCGATTAGGCGAGATTACCGACTTAATAAGATATAAACGCGGAACCGGGCGGAACCGAGAGAACGCCGAGATCTCGCCAGTATAAAGGAACGCATAAAACACCTTCATCGATTGTTCAGCCCGACTGTGCTCGCATTTCTATGGGTGCCGCCGTAAACAAAGGGTACACACGAGTACACCGGGCGGACACGGTGCGTTAATATTACAGTGCATTATACAGGATGCACTGGAAAATTCAGCCGAGTACGGCACAAATAATAGAGAGCGCGACCGTGTTCGGCAGCGAATATACGTGGAGATGACTTCTCCCGAGGAGAATCCTAGCGAGAGATCGGGGCGTCTCGCACTTCGTAAATTTTCCAAATCGCGCTCCCGAGCGCGCCGATTTACCTCGAGTGATTGTATTTTATACTTGCCGAGCACGCTACCGACGAGGAGGACGAGCGACAGAACGGCGATAGACACGACAGGCGCATTGATCTGATTTCAATAGTAATAAAGTGCTTCAACGTACTCGATATCGTGTTTCACATATTCGGAATGCAGCGTCACTAGCAGGGGGGATGTTTTATTGAGTCGGAATAAGGAAAGATGTGTGACCACACCTTCGTTCTGCGGTATCGAAATAGAGAACAACGGGTTCGTTACCTGACGTAACTAACTATATACGAGTCAGTGCCCGGGTGTCGCATGTCGTCTAAGGATATTATCTTACTCAGCCGTCAGTGATATTTCTGTGGTTCTCACAGTCCTCTACCTGCCGGATGAGCGCCTAAATCGGGGAGGTAAAAATAGCGCGTCGTCACGCGTGTCTCACGTCGACCGGGCAATATCACTGTCCATCCGGTTCGTCGCGAGAATCGAAAGTGAAAGTAGCGTAACTCGCATGAGCTACGCTATTATGCAAAATTCGAACTCTTTTTCTTTCCTTTTTTGTCCTATTTATATATGTTTATATTTGAAAAAATATTAATTAATTTTATATTGTGTCACATAACGTGATATAAATTATCGCAATAGATTAATCCATAATATTATTACGTTTGATTTATAATTTAAGGCTCCTGGATCCTCGCTATCTGGCTGTCCTTCTTTGATGATTTGATTAATCCGCGAGAGGTTGCGTGTTTCTTTGATATCTAATCCAATTTTTCTGCGTCACCAAGCAGAGCTATTTGTCGCGGGTATTTACATTTTCTTACGGGTTGCGGAAAAATATTCAGCTGTACAAGTGGGATTCTCTTTTAAGATTTCTGTGTCTCGCCCTGTGCACTGATAAGTATTATGCTCGATATTGTAAAATGATTTTCAGTTATTTATTGATTGTTTAGGTTAAAAGAAAGCGTCCGGACATTTTTACAAGTGTGCTGAATCGATCATGAATCGCCACTTTGTGCATATATTGCGTCATCAAACAAGGACAATCAAAACGAAAACACAGGAACCAAAAGAGGGAACCCTACGTGCCCATTTTTCTGCAACCCATAAGAGAATGTAAATCTCCGCAGTAAATGCTCTGCTTGGCGAGATAGAAAAATTTAATTAAGTACCGAAGAGGCTTGCAGTCTGTCGCGGACTAATCGGCTTGCGATTGTAAACTCAAGAAAGAAGAAAAGAAATACGAAAGAACTGAGTCGAATTGAGAACACTAATACGCTAATCCCTTATGGTTAAATTCGTCACTTAAATAATCGCCTATAATCTCAAGTCAAACCTGATCATATCGTTCATTGATGCCTATTGATTGATTGCGTAGTTTTTGACGTTCTAAAACTTTCGTAGCTATTTCAATTATCTACATTATCCGTATTAAACCTATTCAAATTTATTTATTTATTGTTAGCCATTTATATCGGTATGATCGTTTCGCTCATAAGATAAACGTCCCAGTGATTGAACATATATGTCCTAATGATTAAAATATTATTGATGTATTTTTTTTTTATTAAGATGCTCCTCAATATATGGAATAATATAATAAATGAAAAGAAATGTTAAGTCAGTTTGTGATTTTGTTTCATTTATTTATAAGTATTTTAATTAAACATATATATTATTAATGTCTCAATCATTGGGACACGTTCAATTACTGGGACGTTTACCTTACACAGCACCACTTTATAATGCCGAGCATGATACTTATCAGTTTTGCACGGCGCCGAGTAAGTCGAAAACAGAATAACAAATCCTTCTTCTATATTTAAGGGCCGTTTACCTCTCATATTTATCAGTGTCAGAGAGAAAGCAAGTTCTTTAACTCTCTATTTTCTTTAATCTTTACACAATGTTCAGCTAACGATCTGCTGCCGATTGTGTCCCGCTATTCGAGATAAAACTGCGCTGACCTCTTTTGAAATGATCGCTCTTTGAGATATGACTACTTTAGAAAAGTAAGAAACGTACTTTTAGAATAAGTACAATGCGGTTCAGTCGCTTCAGGATTTCCAAAGTTTTCGACTCGTTCAAAACGTAAGAGACTCCATTGTCCAGATTGGCCGAGAGATCGTTGGAGGACTCGTTGTACGTCGCGTTGTTTTCGAAGCTGAAGAGTGCCCTGACGGAGTCGAGCTCGAAAATAATCTGTTTGAACCAGAGCTCGTAGGCTGTGACAATCGAAATGCATGCGCTCATGCAATTGGAGTTGCTAAATACGAAGCACGATAGAAATGGCGATTAAACGAATCGCGAGTCTGAACGTACCGGTTGAAATATCGCATAGTTTGTGAGGTAATTAATTAACATTCAACATACGTGATCGCAGGGACTAATTATCAATACCTTGATGAGTGACAATAAAAAGGTGTTCATCATGAACTTCGTTGCTGTATTCGGCGCTGAGGAGCCTCTGCGCGGATAGGATCTTGTCTAAACGCAGGTACTCTCCGTAAAGTAATCTCGGCCCTGTCATCATTTGGTCCTCGTTCTGACCGTGGATCTCTCTTCAATGAGCACATTCGTTCGTTATCACTTTTCATATAATCGCGTCATCGAAGCGAAGTTCAAATTATATTTCAATTACTACCCAGTCAACGCAACAATAACCGATATATAAGACGTATGAATTTCTAAATTATATTTTTACGTTTTAATCACATAGAAATGTCACCTTTTTCCAAAAATAATGATACACATTAAATATCTTACTTACTTTATATTTGATAGATATTACATATATATTATATTTAAAACTGTTTTAAGTTCATCTTCAGGTGATATACGGCTCATTTCACTGGCTACAAAACATCTAAAGATGAACTTAACACTTTACCTACCGGTGCTGTCAGTAGAAAATTAATAGGCTTCCGGGTGGTAAAGTGTTAAGACAGTCTTAGGCTGAGATTCGATTCATGCTTACAGCGCTGCAAGCGTCGTTCTATCTTTCTTTGGCATGTAATGAATAATAAAGGTAGAATAATACTTATAATACTGTAAGCGTGAATCGGATTGCAGCCTTAAATAACAGCGTGCAAAAACCAGCGTGTAACAAAACACAGCGAGTGAAAATCTAATCATAAGTTTCTTAGTTATAGCTGAACAAGTGTCAAGAGTTAGATTTGCAAGTACAGTCCCCAGCCATATTATTAGAAGTACCTTAATTTTTTATTGACTTCCGAGGACCAGTTTTATATTACGGCTCATCTATTGATCGAATTATGTTAAGGAACCATTATTTTATAAAATTCGTAGTATGTTAAGGAACCATTATTCTATAAAAGGTATTTTTTATGACATTTTATTTCATTGTTACAATGACCTTAAACAAATATGAACTCATGCTAGTTGCATTGTTGATAATAACGAGTATAAACGTGAGTTTTGAGTGCGTTAATTGAAATTTAATTTTACTTTTGTTCATTTATGACTTGAAACTTAAAATTTCTTGCTTACTAATTAGAAAAATAAATTTTCTTGTGAAAAAGATTAATATTGTTTACAAAAATTATAGGTAAAACAAGTGATTTGACATCTCAGAAGGTTGCAGAGGTAAAAGTGCTATTTGACACCGAAAATTATTCTAATCGAATAAAAATAAAATTAGTAGTTTTTTTTCTCCTAAACTGTATTCTATTAAAGAATCAAAGTGTGTCTAATAATATGATCAGGGACTATATAAGATCAAGTCACAGATAAAATTAAAAAAAAGAGGAAAGGGAGCATCCTGGTATCAGGTAAACCATGCGTGCAAACATGATCAAATGAAGAACTGATTTGATTAAATCAATAGAACGAAAAAAGCGAAATGACAATACGGTGCTATTCCTAAGGAAGGAAAGCATCTATAGGCTTCGGAATTTCGATGTGGTATAATGCTTTTGACTGACAGACTTATGATATGGTTTTATGTTTGTGAACGAAGTGCATTCGGGCAAATGACTCGATCTTGTATGATACTGATTGTTGATATTTATTGTCGTGGCATTATTATTACTGAAGAAGGTGATCCAAATTAAGACCGAAACGTCTTGACGAAGGAATATAAAACAATGATTTCACAAAATTAAACTATACTTATTTTGTTTTTATTATACTAAATCACCTGTGCACAGGCTCTTATATTGGCCCCTTAATCTACTTAAATTATTGATTTTATCAATGGAATTTATTATTTCAATACGATGTATTGTCAATCGTATCACAACGTATTAATGACGCGCCTAATTTATCCACTTTTTGCCGTTTGACAGTTTAACTAAGGACACACGTTTTCATTATATCGTAAAATAATATCTCATTATATTCTCATATCGCAATATGAAATATTAAAGTGCACGAATTAAAGAAAATTTAAGCGCAAGTGCGTCTCTGATATTAATTTTCTCCCTCTCTCTCTCTCTCTCTCTCTCTCTCTCTTTCCCTTTTTTCGTAAGAATTTTTCAACAGTTTTCTCTCGAACTTCTTGATATAAATTTAATCTACTCAATTTCAAATTAAACGAATATTACTTACGCGATTCCGCTTGATATCGGACAAGTCATATTTGAAATGTACGATTCCTCACTTTGATGCGAAGAATAAATCGATAACACTTCGAAATCGCAATGAGAAATCTTCAGTGATTTTTCTTTTTCGTATGAATCGGACGATTAGTTGAGTCCTGGTCCATTGACTGCAGGACTAAATTAAAGTTACGGACGCTTGAGACAGACTAGAATTCGATCTCGATAGATAGACGCGTCGAAATTCTTTGAATTGTAACTCGGAACGATTATATTCGCGTGCAGTGACGATACACACGTGCTGCCGAAGAGGTGGTCAGTGCACGACTAACCCACAATCGGCTAAGGCTGCGGTCTCATAAATTAACTCTTACATAAATAAACGTATTGGGGTCGTACTGAACAAAAAAATGATTTTAACAAAACTGTCTCACACGTAATAACGACGAGATATTTATAGTTCACTTGTTGTACGTTATGTTATGGATCTTTCAAGAAACTGATTTTCATGAGATCTCAGAAATTTGTGTTCATACAATGTAACCAGTAACAGACATTAAAACTATAAAATTTCGTCATAGTTTTTTAAATGACTTTTAATGCGTAACGCCTTATGCGTTAAAACTTTGGCTAATCAATATTATCGCCATTTACAAGTATGCAATTAAGTGACCTTGCGAAAATGAAATTACTTCGAGAGTGAGCCATACCGACAATATCTGAATAGGTTCTTAATCAAGGTTATAATTATAGATGTCTCTCCTTCGCTTAAAACTATTATTAACCGATGGAAGATTTTGTAGGATCTGCAGTCGATCAAGAAAATTTCTTCTAATTTCAACCAAATTGTTGGTCTCGTTAGTAGATGTCGTGTCATGTATATTTTATCGTTCTTAGTGTTATTGTCAAAATTAATTAAAAAAAAAAGAAGATTGACAGATAAGACAAAACTTGCATAAAATCGCAGTTATCAAAATCTTAAACACATAAACTTCATTTTAGATTTAATCACAATGCAGTTGGATACTTATAGATTACATTTTATATTTATATACTGAGGTATGAATTGATATACATTGATATTTATGATACAATTACGAATTGATACGCATTTATCGATATTGAATAATACACATTGAAATAATATATAAGCTCATAGATTAATTATTTAGGAAAACAACAAGTTAATTCCCATATAGCATACTTTATCCGAAGGATGTCTTTAAGATGTCTGTGCTATATGGATAATATTTAATCTTAAATTTAAGAAAGGAACAGAGAGAAGTGTAGTTTCGTAAAAAAAGAAGTTCTATCAATAAATTTTTGTAGTGATCTTTGTAAATAAAGTTTTATTTTAACATTATTCTGATATATATATATTAGGTTGGAGAAAAAGAAATCCATTATTTTTACGTGAACTTCAAGACTTTATTTAACATGTTTCGGATTGTCCGATTTGGGTCAAATATGCACCGTTTTGTTTTATAATTTGTTGCCATTTTAAAGGTAGCTTCATAATGCCTCTTCTATAGAAGTCTTGGTCCCTATTGGCGAAAAACTCTAGTAATCGATTTTCGCAATCTTCTCTTGATGCCAATTTCTTATCACTAAGGAAGTTTTGCAATGCAAGAAAAACATGGTAATCGCTTGGTGCCGGACTATATGGTGGATGCATCAAAACTTCCCAACCAAGCTCCCGGAGTTTCTGGCGAGTCACTATAGACAAGTGTGGCCTGGCGTTGTCCTGATGGAACACAACACCTCTCCTGTTGGCCAATTCTGGCCGTTTCTGGTCAATGGCTAGCTTCAAACGGTCCAGTTGTTGACAGTAGAGATCCGAATTTAGTGTTTGGCCATATGGAAGCAACTCATAATAAATGATTCCTTTCCAGTCCCACCAAATGCACAGCAGAACCTTCCTGGCCGTTAGTCTTGGTTTGGCCACCGTTTGAGCTGCTTCACCGCGCTTTAACCACGATCGTTTTCGCACAATGTTGTCGACCCATTTCTCATCCCCAGTCACCATCCGTTTAAGAAATGGGTCGATTTCGTTCCGTTTGGCCAAGGCTTTGCAGATGGATCCATCATGTTTCTTTGTGTTAATTGATGTGGCACCCAAACATCGAGCTTCTTTTTGAATCCAGCTTTGTGCAAATGGTTTAAAACTGTTTTATGGTCGATCTATAGCTCCTGGGCGATGCTACGACTGCTAACATGCCGGTCGATTATTTCTGTGATTTTATCGACATTTTCGACGACGGGCCTACCTGTGCGAGGTGCATCTTTAACATCAAAAATACCTGAACGGAATCGACGAAACCAAAATTGCACGTAATTGGCTGTTACAGTATCGACACCATAAACACCATTCACAATTACAGCCACCTGGCTTAAATTTTCGCCTTTATCAAAAAAAAAATTGTAAAATGTACCGAATTTTCTCTTTGTTGACTTCCATTTTTAACACCCTGTAATTCACAACAGAATGGACTAAACAAAAAACAACAAAAGAATTTGTTTAGTGCGAAATGTCACCTTTCTAACGAGCAGAAATCTGAAATTGTTTGATCGATACTTTACGAGATATCGATCACTACAGCCATCTACCGAAAAAATAATGGATTTCTTTTTCCCCAACCTAATATTTCTGAAACTACTATATATACACGTATTATTTCTATTAAACACAATTTAAACATTATTTTTTTTAATTAAACAAATCTAATTTTAGTAATTATATTTATTAAAATTAGATAAATTTTTTTTCCAGTGCAGGAACACGTTAATAATCACTCACGATTCTGTGCATTCTTTTCTACTACGGACTTTATTATTCTCCTTTGTCTAATTATATCCCTGTTAAACGTTTCTCTTCTGTTCTTAAAGGTATTTAGACGGTATAATGGGTACATGGGAAAACTTATTCTATACTCGAAAGATGCACAGCCCGCTTTGCCGTTCTTGAAGTTCTGCTGAGAGGTGCGGCTCTCGGACTAGGATTTGATATTCGTATTGTTAATACCCTTACATCAGAGCATCTCAAAGAAGAATTCGTCAAGATAAAGAATATCTATAAAATATTATTATTATTATATTTTCTTACTGAAAGCGGACAACATGTGTTTTATAAACATTTGTACAGCTATCATGGAAAATTTCTGCAAAAGTTCGGGTAGCTCTGTCAGAGTTGTTAATTCGAACTCGCATGATTTCCTGTTTCTATTTTATTTTAACTTTTATCTCGCAGATAAATTCGCAACACATCATTCCAACTTTCGTAGACAGTGATTTTGTGCTATGGGATAAGAGAACCGTGACTATAACGAATATTGTTTCAAAAATTTTCAGCACGCAATTGTGCGTTACTTGTGCTACAAATACGCCAAACATGACGCTTTGTATCAGGTAGATCCTCAAAAGCTAGCTTTGGCTGATCAACATCTCCACTTTGATTGCGAAATGCTCTTCAATGTGCTGAGAAGCATATTTGTGGGTATCCCTTTTTCAGATACACATGATAATGCACGATTATCATTATAATTCTCGCAGATTATTGAACATTCTTTCGTGCAACTCTATTTGCTTTATTCTCTTAATAATAGTTTTTGCTATCTTTCAGTGTTTGCAAAGCTGTTTCCATAATTACGATCCTACTGTTTATCTCAGGTAACTGTTGTATAAATTTTACTTACGTGTTTTCCCAATTTGTAGAGACTGATAATGTATACGGACGCAACAGAAGTCCCACAGGAGCAGATCTATCTCGTCTCGAAAAATTTCGACCTTTTAAATATATTTCTAGATAAAAAAAATATGGTTGGCCGATGATAATTATACAATTTCCGATACCAGTTACGTCACCTTTGTTATCTCTGTCACTGTGAGTATCTCATTTAATTTCGTAAGAGCAACACGAAACAAACAAAATGCTTCAGAATATGCATTGTGCTCATTGTTAACATTTATTTCAAAGTGGTTACTATCGTTAGACTCGTGTCCGAATGTAATTTATCCTATAAAATTCTCGGAGTACATCGAGACTTTTCAAGATATCGTAAAGACGTATTTGAGATAATAGGACGTTTAAAGGATGTTTCTGAAATATTTCTTAAACATATATGTTATGTAGATTACGGCATACTATAGCTACTGTAATATATTCTATATTTAAGTATTATTATGTGCTGCCCATTTTCTATATGCCATTTTATGCAGCTCCTTGTTTCCTGGAATATTAAACCCAGGAAATTACATTCGGACACAAGTCTAACGATAGTAATCACTTTGAAATAAATGTTAACAATGAGCACGTGCATATTCTGAAGCGTTTTGCTTGTTTCGTGTCGCTCTTACGAAATATATATATATTCATATATGACGATATATGATTTTATATAATTATATATAATTATATATAATCATTTTCTCCAGGGTAGTTATTTAATAGTGTTTATATTTCCATTTTGTTAAAAGAAAGTGCTGTACTATTTCAAAATAAAAGTTTATCTGACCTATCGTTTTAAGTTTATATTACAACTCCAATTTGTTGATGAAAACAATAGCGACTCATAGCGAAGATTTTGGAATTAAGAAAAAAGTAACTTTCTCGGCGGCGTCGCTAGATGGTGCCAGACAACTCGTTAGTTCTGTTTAGATGGATCTAGTAGATCCCTTATTACTCCTAAGTGTAGTTCCAAAATCTCCGCTACAAGTCACTACTGTTTATAACGAAGAATCGAACTCATGATATAACTTTTCCATAATAGATAGATTTCTTATTTCTAGATGAAAAGACGAACTTTTCACTTCCAAATAATATGACCTAACGCTAAATCAAAAGACTTCTTTATCTTCAAATAACATGGTTCAAATCAAATAATTTTTTAATTTCTATTGAATGAATTTCAACGACGGACTAGATAAATTTTTATTTTCCAATAGCACAATCGAACAATGATCAGATAAAGGTGTATATTTACTTGCTAATGAAGAATAAAAATTCCTTGGCCTAATAATGAAATGCGAAAGTTTATCAAGTAACCTTTTAATTGCTTAATATGTGGTTTCCGGGTCCTTCCTTCCTATATGTGGTTAGTGTCGCGTCCCCTATAAATTTTTTCCGACGTTTCGTGAACATACCAATTCACTTTTTTAGGAAAGCGATTTGAAAGTCAATAATTTTCGAATTAACGATTTAACGAGTCAATTAAATATATCTGATGATTTATACATATATAATTAAAACATATATAATTAAAAATAAAAAAACATATATAATTAAAAAATAAAGACTATAATATAAAACAAGCTTCGAGGT